GACTGCACCCATCACCATCCCAAGCAGCGCCCATTACCTCGCCCCGTAGATCAGTTCCCCTTCAGCCTACATCACCTCCCCAGTCAACGCCCATCACCTCCCCTACCTCAGTGCCCTAGGGGCTCCTATCACCTTCCCCGTACCTCAGCTCCCCAAGGGTGCCCATCACCTGGCCATCTTCCCCCTTCAGGGCATCGATCGCCCCACTAACCCCAACGGCGAGACTTCTTGCCTGCCTGCCTAAAATTGCATCAGAATTATCGGCGTCTTATGGGTGGCCATAGGGAGGCCATCAGCCAGCAACGCAAATGTTGTTAGGATAAACAAGCGCTAGTGAAGTTGACACCAGTGAACTTACTATTCAAAGTTAGTTAGTTAGTTAGTAGACGAATTTGACGATTTTTTTTGACGAAGTTTTTTGTTCTTTTTGTTTCAAACTACATTGAATTCAAACATTAGTAAACTGCGGCTTTCGTATTTGCTCTACAATCCATGCTATACACTCAAAATTTGAATTTTTACGAAGTATGTTTTCAATAAATGGATTGTCCTCGCAACTGGTGTATACTTAAATTTAGAAATTTGTGTCTAGGCAATATTCTGAGGTTGTTTCCGAACATGATAATAAGAATTATGTTTATTGTTCGTTTCCTAACTTAGGTTCCACTTCCAAGACGATGGATTGGGAGTTGAAAGTTTTGTCCTCTAAAAACGCCCGAATGTAAATCTTCATATAGTGCTGGTGAATAATTTCAAAATCAGTTACCTACTTTTCATGTTCATACTTTCACCGTTTTCATGCGATCGTCCCTGGATTATCAATATAGTTGTGCACAGTTCGCATCTGCGTATGTCGGTATGACATCACGCAATTTTTATACTAGGCTGGCGGAGCACAAGGGGCAGGACGATTTACACAGTCGAGTTTGGATTTAAATGTTCATATAATTAACAAATTGTGAACAAGTAAAATTGGCTGGAAGTAGCAACGGCAAGGTTTTAATTTACTTATTTAATCATATGGCAGCAGTAGCGGTGAAGTAAAATTAGGTTTTGATAAGGTTGGCTTATTCCGGATGCGGCTAAGTAAGGGCTGTAGGTGTGGTCTCCTTAGCGCCACGACGTAGCCGTGACGCCAGGTATAATCTCGGTCAGGTTCTTACAGGATTTGACAGTAAAAATAATAAGCAGCAATTTCAGCAATAAAAATCCAATTAGTTTAAAAACTTCCAACTGACCTGAGGTTGTTAATGCCCAGTGTTAAGACTTTATGAATATGGAGTGAATGAAGAGTTTAATTGGAGAAATTTAGAGGAAATCAGTTTGAGGAGTTGGAAGTTGGACGGAAGAAGACAGCAAGAATAGCTAAAGGTTTCACTGCGTGTTGAAAGAAGATCAAAGACTTAAATTAGGATGGCACATTCCGAAACAGTATAACCAACTGCCATCGTGAATTGCACGACCCAATTTCTGGCAAAATTGAATTATTGATGTTTAATGTATATTTTGATGAAACTTTGACATAATTTAAAATATGTATATACTGTAATTCAAAATGTATTTAACATTTCAAATATTTAACAACTTTGAAATAAATTTGATATAGATTATATTAAAATAAATTTAATATATATTTGAAATAAACTTGACAAACTTTGCTACAGATTTGCAATATATTAGATATTAATTTGATAGAAATTCGATATAAATTTGCTTAAAATGATATACTCTTAAGAGAGTGCTGCTTCCTGCACGCAGGAAGCAGCAGGTGCAGCCATTGCAGCAGTGCAGGAGTGCACGCAGGAAGCAGCAGGTGCAGCCATTGCAGCAGTGCAGGAGTGCACGCAGGAAGCAGCAGGTGCAGCCATTGCAGCAGAGCAGGAGTGCACGCAGGAAGCAGCAGGTGCAGCCATTGCAGCAGAGCAGGAGTGCACGCAGGAAGCAGCAGGTGCAGCCATTGCAGTCACAACCCATCACAAGTCACGACAAGGCTTCACTCATCACAAAGGTAAGAAGCACTCGTCCAAAACATGTTTGCCCATCACGAGAGGATTTCACCAGTTAAAAAATTTATACATGACCAAAGGAGACGAACATACTCATCAAGTAGGAGGAATGTGTTCGGCTTCACTTTTATATAAATCCTGTTCCCATGTTTAAAGGTTATCGCTGTCGCTGTCTGTGCCCGGAGTTGTTCGGGTGTTGAGCTAAAGGAATATGTATGTATATGGCGTGGGTATGAGGCTGAGTGAGTGGCTTAAATGATCGTAAATTGATTTTGGTTCTAGATAGATATAAGCGAGTTCTAATAACCATAGAGTTAAGTCAAAAAAGACGTTGATCCAGTACAGGCCAGGGCCTAAAGCGAGGATCTACCTAAATAACGTATACGGTATACAGTTAGCTGCGGATGCACCAACATCATTTCACAACTGGAAGAATTTTGGTAGATTAATTGAATAGTGCTCGTAGCCGTCAGCGGAAGATGGTCATTCGAATAACTTATGATATAATTAAAATATTTGTTTAGAAACATTGAACACCCTAACCCATTCGACCATTTGCATGCACTCTCCTTGTTCGAGTCCTCGGAAGCACCAACCGCTCCTGATCCTTTGCAAAAGAATTGGTTGATAAATATATGCTCAAATATTCACTGCACAACTGACCCAATGTCGTGGCCACCTTCTCTTGTGCCCCGGAGCTGCCCTCAGCCTCTCTGCAGTGCCATTTCATGTGGAGTTTTATTGCTGCGATGCGCTCAGTGTTTCGCACCAACCGCTTATTGCTTGTGGCCTCTTTTAGACCTCAGTGAACTTTGTTGTTCTTGCGGTGCCGCGAGGAAAGAGGGTGAAAAAGTGGCATAGAGTGGCCAGACAGAGGAAGAAGAAACATGCTGAAAACGATCATTCAGCCGTTCAGCATGGATTAAGATTTCCATTCGTTGGCTAATGGGATGTGAACGTTTATTCGTCTAGGCTTTCTTAGACTAAATGAGTGAGACGCTCGATTTCAAGAATTCATAGCGCCCCTGTTATCGCGTGTCCCTGTTGCTGTCGTCCCGAGAACAGAAGCAGCGGCTCGCTGAGCGGTGCCACGCTAACGCCTCGCTCAGCGTCCCGGGCCAAAAGCTCCTGTTTTTATCGACTAACTTTTTCAATTTAAGCGCCGCCGACGCCGGCCCATAACTCGCTGGCTCTATCATACATTAGAGGCGGCGGGGGTATGGCCGACCGCTGGCCGCCTATAAACTGATGTTTGACGTGACCTGCTGCCGTGCCCATAGACACCATATGGACCAGCAAGTCTCGCGCCAATCTCACCAGTCTCGCACGACATTCTTTGCTCACAGTTCCGACAGTCTCAAAGGCCTCCCAGTCTCACCAGTCTCACCATCCTCCCAGTTTCATCACTTACGAGTCTTACCGGTCTGCCAGACATGTCTACATCAAGTTACGGACACTTTTCAACCCCTATGTCTACGGATACACTAACTGTTGTCAATACTATCCGTCCCTAAATCCTTGGTAATGAAAGTTGCGGTCAATAGTCACAGGGTTATGTTTGGTAAGGCCTGCGCTGGATGGGCGTATATATTATAGGAGCGCCTTGCAGGACAACCTACGTATGTAAATTGACGACTGCCTGACGCGTCTCTTGGGCTCGTATATACGGCGTTCAGTTCCCACTAAACCTGAGATCATGAGATTAAAGCCGCTTTCTGGTGGGAGCCATGAATGCTTTAAGTGAGTTGCTAGAGGGCTTTGGGTCCTGGACTGGATATAACTGATGAATATCTCAAGCCAGATGGTGTCGGGTCCTGGACATAGAATAGAATAGAATAGAAGTGTCGGCACTGAAGAAATAGACCCATGGCCTGTTGCCGACTCTTGAAATTTTCGTGACTTGATTTACAAGGGATCCGGCCTTTGGAACCCGATCATTCCATAACTGACGATTGATTGAGATAGCTGCTGGACTTATTGTCTGGTCCGTAATTTGCTAGGCATTTTAAGACGGAACATATGCTCCTGCATAGCTTCGTCTAGTCTGTTCTTGAAGGCGGTCATACTCGGAGCGTCAACGATGCTATCAGGGAGGCTGTTCCACATGTATGCATATAACTGATGAATACTCAAGCCAGAAGGCGTCGGGATTCGGGATGTGTACACAACTGATGAATATCTCACGCCAGAGGGCGTAGGGTCCTGGTCATAACTGATGAATATCTCAAGCTAGGGAGCGTTATGTCCTAGGTACAGCTGGTAGAGGTATCATGCGAGCAGCACTCGTTCGTGATTAATTAGTCGGTTCCAACAATATGTAGGATGGCCGTACAAAATAAGTACTCTATGTCAGAGCCCATTTGCCGGTTGTTGGAGGTTGGAGCGGCCGCAATTTCCAGTTGGGTAAAGCTCTTGTAATTGCACATGAAGCTGCATCGTTCGTAACGAGGCTTGTGAATAACAAGGCGTGCAGCAGCCATGAAATGCTCCGCTTTTGTGCAGAAGAACGAGGCTCCTGTCGGACGTTGTGGCCTCATTTGCTGAGTAAGTTACGAGGCAGACAAGACGTAGGATGAAAATGCTGCTGCTGCTCCCATCTTCTTCCCGTTCGTGTGTGTTTTGAGACGCCGAAGACATGCTAGTTAGGCGGCAATTACAGTCTTCACAGTTTAAAGATTCAATCCAGAAGATGTGAATACATTAAAGGTCGGTAATGCTGTTCGTTCCTGAAGACTTGGAAACGCGAGGATTATTTTGCATTTGGTAGTTATGCAATGTTTACGAAATGCGTCAATAATGCATCGAGTAATTCAAAATTACATAAACGTTTACAACAAACTGAGTCCAGGAGATTGAAAGAAATGGGGTTTTGGCATGAGTTTTAGGAAGATAGAAGAAAAAATTGGCTGGTATTTGTATATGAGGTTGGCATTTGGTTTTACGCATAAAAATGCAATGGGAGTAGTTCGGCATGATAATGAATTCAGAGTATATATGCATGATAATGCTGGCTCAGCCGAGATAACAAAAGCTGTCTCTGCTGTCACTCGCTCTGCCAAGACAACAAAAGCTGTCTCTGCTGTCACTCGCTCTGCCAAGACAACAAAAGCTGTCTCTCCTGTCACTCGCTCTGCCAAGACAACAAAAGCTGTCTCTGCTCTCCCTCGCTCAGCTGAGATAACAAAAGCTGTCTCTGCTGTCCCTCGCTCAGCCAAGACAACAAAAGCTGTCTCTGCTGTCCCTCGCTCAGCCAAGACAACAAAAGCTGTCTCTGCTGTCCCTCGCTCAGCCGAGACAACAAAAGCTGTCTCTGCTGTCCCTCGCTCAGTCGAGACTACAAAATCTTTCTCTGCTGTCCCTCGCTCAGCCGAGACTGCAAAAGCTGTCTCTGCTGTCCCTCGCTCAGCCGAGACTACAAAAGCTGTCTCTGATGTCCTACACTCAGCCGAGATAACGAAAGCTGTCTCTGATGTCGCTCGCTCAGCCGAGATAACGAAAGCTGTTTCTGATGTCCCTCGCTCAGCCGAGACAACAAAAGCTGTCTCTGATGTCCCTCGCTCAGCCGAGACAACAAAAGCTGTCTCTGATGTCACTCGTTCTGCCAAGACAACAAAAGCTGTCTCTGCTGTCACTCGCTCAGCCGAGACTACAAAATCTTTCTCTGCTGTCCCTCGCTCAGCCGAGACTACAAAAGCTGTCTATGATGTCCTACACTCAGCCGAGATAACGAAAGCTGTCTCTGATGTCCCTCGCTCAGCCGAGACAACAAAAGCTGTCTCTGATGTCCCTCGCTCTGCCGAGACAACGAAAGCTGTCTCTGATGTCGCTCGTTCTGCCAAGACAACAAAAGCTGTCTCTGATGTCATTCGCTCAGCCGAGACAACAGAAGCTGCCTTTTGTCTTTGATATCATCTACTTACCAACCTAAAACTTTTAATTTTTGAAACTTCTAAGCAGCTTTCATATTTAATTATGAGAAAAACTCGAGAAGAGAAGACTGCTGCCTTCCCCCATGCACGACTGGTACGAAAAATATCGCAGTCGTGCCTTAGGCCAGACTGCGGCCTTCCCCTCAATAAAGCCATTGTCAGTGATGATGTCATCGAACCCGTCATCAACGTATGGAAATATCCGGTCCTGACACGACAGAAGTTAGGTCGCGCCAGGCAATCTCATAGACGGATAAATAATGCAGAGCAGGGGTGGCAGAGCAGAGGGTTAGGGTCGGTTAGGTAGGGGCGAACAGAGAGTGGATCAGACCTCGGCTTATCATGCATATCTTCTATTGAATTCACTTTCCATGAAATTTATGGCAAATTTCATCCGTGTGATTCGCCTTTGAGTAAATGCATACACTGTATTGTTCAGGGCGATTTTAACTCTCGAAGGGGAAAAATAGGTAATTTATTCGTGGTGTTATAATACTCGGCAACAAACGTGAAACAATACTCGTTGGAAGTATTTCAATTCAATTTTTACATTTATATTAAATTGAACGAGGAATAATTCCATGACGTGATTTTCGTAGAGGCAGAATTACATATTCGCACAGCTACCAAAATGGGGATGAAGAAAATTCAACAGAATTGCACGCGCGCCCGCAGCGCTGTCGAGGTTAGGCGGACATTTACCACAGAAAGTAAGAGCAAAAATATTACGTAGTGCAAGCGTCCTTGGCATGAGAAGGCGTGTTACACACACCGTTATACTCACCGTTATACTTGGTGTGGCAGTGATCACTTGGAGTGTTATTTCGCCAACGTTCAACTGTGGGAAACTTTAAGGCTGTTTATTGGTGCGTAAAGGCTATGATTCGATCAAATGAAGCGCGTCAGAAGTTATGGAGCTGTTGCACGTAAATGGTGCATAAATACGTTGTTTCATCTCATGTATATTGGTGAAATTCAGTGTTTACATGTCTGAAGCCTGACGCCGCACGCATACAAGGGCTCTGCGAGCGCGTATCCAGGAAATGTTTGATGCGTCGGAATGCCGGATCCAGAAATGGAATTCCTAGTGAGAGAATAGTAAGACAGTGCAAGACAACGAGGGTGAAATATGTATTATTGTTAAATTGAAATAAGATGTTTGATTTGGTTTGTCAAAATTTAACTATGAAATATTGTCATTCTTACATAAACTGCCTGTAAGATGGGAGTTACATATTCGAAATTATAATTGGAATGGGACATTTTAGAAATAGCCTGCCTTATTTTCGAAGTTATCACTTGTGTACGGAGTTCTGTATGACAGTATATGGAATGAATGGACGCATGAGGAGGGGATTTTAAAAATTCAGAGATAGATAAGAGTGGCAAAGTATTGCATGGTGCCTATCTTTCTAGGTGCTGGTATACCAGCAGGTGAGACCCGTCGTTCCCGGGATCAATAATTAATCCCTGCAACTTCCGAATCCTGTAACCCGTAGCAAAAACAAGCCTATATGCACGTTAATTAAAGAAAAATAATTTCAAACACACATATTACCTAGCACATTTAACATTAACCATTTTGCGTATTTTAAAATAAATTTACGTATACCAATTTAATATAAAATCTCAATTCCCGGAGAAAGACGAGCTTTTCAGCTGAATATTTGAAGGAGATACTGGCCACACTTGAATAACTTGAACGAAGCTCGTGCCTTGATGCCGAGATACTTGAGATTCTAGGCCGTCCCACGCAAGCCCAGAACTGCTCGGCTTATAGATTCAAGTGGTTAGAGTCTGAGCCTCTAGCATGGCCCCATCTCTTCTGCTCTACTTAGCTGGGCCTCGCACTGCTGCGCTATGTAGCGCTCTGCTTCGCTGTGTCCCGCTCTGCTGCGCTGGGTCTCGCACTGTCCCATCTCTTCTGCTCTACTTCTGCCCCGCTCTGCTTCGCTGTGCCCCGCTCTGCTTCGCTGTGTCCCGCTCTGCTGCGCTGGGTCTCGCACTGTCCCATCTCTTCTGCTCTACTTAGCTGGGCCTCGCTCTGTCCGCTGTGTCCCGCTCTGTCCCATTCTGCTCTCCTGAGCCAAACTCTGACCGATTCTGCTCCATTCCGAGCAGCAGCAGCAGGAAGTGGCCGCTAGACAGAGATGTCACGGTCGCTTGAACTTTGAAGTTAGGTTAGTTTAGGGAGCAAAACTTTCTGAGCAACAAGGAACGGGCGGGCAGATGGAAGCCTTTATAGACGACACCTTGACTCCATATATGAACCTGCATTGAGCTCCATGCATCGGGCTAACTTGCGGTGAGAAGATTGCATGCCTACACCGGCATGATCGCTTACATACTATGGCGTGATGTCCCTGCAAGAGGAGGCATAGGTGAATACAGCTTATTGACTACAATTATTTAAATAACAGTATTTTCTTGGTATATAATTCGGATATCATTTATCTATAATAATCGATACCTTCAGGACTAGCGGCCAATTCGATTTGCCAAACTACTTTTCGCCTACTATTACTGTTTCCGTTTCCCCATCTCCTTTCTGGCCTCCCTGAAACTCAAGATCTTTTCTCGCATTTCCTAGTGGCACCGCCACCGCCATACACAAGAAACACACGCCTCAGAAACAAAGTTATTCATTGAATCAATATTTGAAGCTTCAAGCCGCATAGCTTCACGCGCACCCTAAAGCAGCGACCAACTTTCTGAGGACATCTGGACTGCTGGATGGATGCCGCCGGCTTTTTTGTTGTTGTTTTGGTGGGAAGAGTGGGGAAAGAGGAAGGGGAAATGGAAAAGATAGAGGCTAGATTTTAAGCTATAACTAATTTAGAAGACATGTACGAAAATGCTGATGCCATCGGCGTACGCGGGTAGCAAGAAGATAAGGCACTGGAAGCTGTAATTCAATGAATGTTAGTTGTATAAGCATAGTGGTGGTGGCGGTGCCATTAAGAAATGTGGGAAAAGATCAAGAGGTGGCTAAGTGTGGACAGAATAAAGGAGAAACGGAAACCACAGTGAGAGGCGAAAAGACGCTTGGCTCATAATTCGGTTCGAAGGTAGATGCATGGGGTTTTTCTACGGGGTCAGAGGAATTGGAAACCCATCGGAACTTTGGAGGGTCATTAGGTACGTGAGGCTAGCCTTTTAGTATGTTAGTTACAAGTTGTAATTTTTACATTTTTTACATTTGTCACTGCACACCATACTTATTTTTATTTATATATTATCATTATTAGGTATTTGGTGGTGATTTTTTTATTTTTTTTTATGTAATTTTATTTTTTAAATTTTATTTTTACATTTTGTTTACATGGTCGTTAGAAAAGCGCGAAAACGGATGAAGAAGATGAGAATGAATGATATGTGATGGTGATGAGGCTATGAAGGGATATGAGAGGATCGCTCGTGGCTTAGAGGTACAGGTTGTTGGGTTTGGTATTCGTTGAGGGTGTCGCTCATTGTGCGTCTTGTTCGACCGTTTTTGTCCGTCTTATTGGCAAGGTGAGAGTCAGGTTTTGGGTCGCCACACCTAAGCGCGATGACTTGCAACTGCCGCCCAGGTGAATCGTGGCCCGTCGATCGTGTAGGTGGTACGATTGTCTTGGTGTGAACGCGCGGAGACAAAGGCCTTTTGGGTGCAGAGTATCTGTGATGTATATATGAGGGACTTTTGATATGTGTTATTCGTAGATTTTTGGGGGTTGAGGGCCTGATGCCATTTTCTTAGAGCGTATGAATTTTTGTGTGCCGCATCTGGCGGAACGTTAGTTGTAGGGCAGGGTGGCCCAGTGGTTAAAGTTCAGAGTACCAAGATTGGCGCAGAGAGGCGCGGGTTCGATCCCAGCTCTGTGCGTCAGTTTCTGGTCAGAATCGGCGAGGAGGCCGGGCTGTTAAGCACAGCAGAATTTGAATCAGTGGGTTGTGAGTTCGAGACCGCAACTAGCTGTGGATGTTCTGCGATGCTAGGAATCGGCGACAGACCGATCGGTGTAATAAACGCTGAAACCGCTATTATTATTATCATTATCATTTAGGAGATCGAGTATGCAAGTGGCTATTGTGTTCCAGATTTAGCGTGCTTGTTCGTATAACACGATGTTAATTGCGGGTATGTTGCATTGTTCGTAGAGGGTTTTTGAGGAAATGAAGTCAGTCTAGTCACTAGTGGGTGTTGGTGATGAATCTGAGTGCTTAGTTCTCTATCCTTTGTAGTTGGGAGATTACTGTTCGCGACAGTGTGCAGTCATATGGGCGGGTAGGTAAGTGAGGATCGTATACAAATGCCGTTTACAATCTGTATTTTAGGTTGGGAGAAGGATGGCGAATCGGCTAAGTTTATGGAGGATTCTTAGGGCTATCTGTCTAATTTTAACTTGTGTTCTGTATTGGTCAGCAGTTAGTTAGAGCTCTAATGCCGTCTTTTTTTTTGTGCAGGGAAAGTGTTTGTTATGGATGAAAATGTCGGTTGTGTTTTCCTTGTTGCTTGGTAGTATCTTGAATTTCGACGTGCTCGTTTGTTTCAATCATTTGTGCTCGAACGTGATTATCTGTGTGATTGCGTGTTCTGTTAGTTGTGCTGCGTAACGGTGCGTGCGCCTGCCTGCTGTGATCTGCGAGATTTCTTCGGCGAATGCAGTCATACACCGACTACATTGTACTGCAATGTAGTCGGTGTTTGGTAGAGATAAGGGGATGCCGTGCATGGGTCTAGCAGCTGTTGAGTGTCGGTGAGAGACAGGCGTCTTGAGGAACTCCGGTGTGCAGTGGGAATGCGGGGCCTAGATAAGTGACTATTCTAATTAAGTTAAAGCTGTTCTATCTGAGATGAAGTCAATAATTGTTGGTCTACATGAAGGGTTTGTGCTAAATTGAGTGATTTTATCACGAGGACAATGTGCCAAACTCGGTTGAATGCTTTTTCTCTTGGCTTACTAAATACATTTTGCCTGTGATTGAATAAGTTGGTTGTTTTGAGATTGTTATAAAATCTATTGTTGTTGAGTATTTTGTCCTGTAAATTTCCGTTTATGTCCAGGAGGAAAATGGGTCTGTAATTTTTGACTTGGTGTTGACATGTATTAGGTTTGGGGATGAACATCATTATGGCATGTTCGAGTGAATCGGAAAAGTATTCGGCGGAGATTGGCTGATTGAATATCTGGAGTAATAATTGCAGCATGTTCCAAGGGAGATGTTTTAGTTGTAGTGTGGTGATGTTGTTGGACCCGGGCAGCCATGTTGATACAGCCCGCAGGTCAGTGTAGTTAGCCATGTTGATGCACATCAGTATATTTGTCATGATGAAACAGGTCATGATATTCAGGCACGATATTCAACTTAAGAATTTACTAGTGGTAGAAGCATGAAGTGATCACAAGGTGAATAGATTGAAATCTGCATACAAGATTGAACTGCATGCAGAAGCCAATGGTGGTGGCGCGGTGCCACTGAGAAAGTGAAGATAGAAAACCAAGAGGTTGCACAGAGAGGCCAGACATGGGAAGGAGAAATAGAATATTTCTGCCCTCAGGTCGGAGGTCGACCGGCATGACACTCATGCAATGCACTGCAATCCACCATCTCTACAACAGAAGGTTACCATGTAGTTCTGAAGACGCACCGATGCTGGCAAGCGATTTGTCGGCTTGTTGTATGTCGACTGGTGCCCACTGTTACACGGAGTGCCGAGGTTGACAAGAGAGAAGTTAGCCGCTCACCATCTTCTTGCCACGATCAAAACGCAGCAAACCGGGAAAGATCTGAAGGCAGGACGAGGCTGGAAAGAAGGGCAGGTTATCGTCATCTGGCTGTAGCCGGTGCTATGCTGTAGCTGGACAAGCGGTTGAGTTGAAAAATTTTAGGCTGCGGGTTAACCTCTGGATAGCGAAATTTAATAGTTGCAGGGAAACATCAAAGAAGATCATGCCGTCGGCAGTTAGTGTAAATTTACACATCAGGAACATTGTGATAACTTTAGCTGCATGACCATTAAATTTAAAAAATAATTTAATTTTTAATATAGATTAGCGATGGTTTGTACAAGGTGTCATGATAATCCATCTCCACAGGACCACTACCACTGGCTGTGGTGCAAGTGTCCCGCCTTAACTCAGTGCCTGGGCCCCACAGGACCACTACCACTGGCTGTGGTTCCAGTGTCCCGCCATAACTCAGTGCCTGGGCCCCACAGTTGTGGTGCCAGTGTCCCGCCATAACTCAGTGCCTGGGCCCCACAGGACCACTACCACTGGCTGTGGTGCCAGTGTCCCGCCATAACTCAGTGCCTGGGCCCCACAGGACCACTACCACAAGCTGTGGTGCCAGTGTGGGGGCGACGCAGGCGCGGTGCCGCGGGAGGCTCGCCTGAGGGCCGCTATAGCTCGCTTGCAGGAAGGCGTCGCTGCCATCGGCGTCGCCTACGTCGCCTGCGTCGTCTGCGTCTTCCTGGCGACGCTCCTGCTGCTGCTCTGCAGGGCAGGATACGGAGCCCAGTCAGTGTAGTTAGCAGGGCAGGATACGGAGCCCAGTCAGTGTAGTTAGCAGGGCAGAATACGGAGCCCAGTCAGTGTAGTTAGCAGGGCAGTATACGGAGCCCAGTCAGTGTAGTTAGCAGGGCAGGATACGAGCCCAGTCAGTGTAGTTAGCAGGGCAGGATACGGAGCTCAGTCGGTGTAGTTAGCAGGGCAGGATACGGAGCCCAGTCAGTTTTGTTAGCAGGGCAGGATACGGAGCCCAGTCAGTGTAGTTAGCAGGGCAGGATACGGAGCCCAGTCAGTGTAGTTAGCAGGGCAGGATACGGAGCCCAGTCAGTGTAGTTAGCAGGGCAGGATACGGAGTCCAGTCAGTGTAGTTAGCAGGGCAGGATACGGAGCTCAGTCAGTGTAGTTAGCCATGTTGATAAATGCCAGGATTGTTAACTATGCTAATATACGTCAGTGTAGTTATCAATATTGATACAAGTCAGTGTAGTTAGCCATGTTGATACACATAAGTTTATTTAGCTAAGCTGATAAGTTTCAATGTAGTCAAACACGTTAGTACATGTCAGTGTTGACATGAATTTTGAGACACGCCAGTGCAGTTTCATATGTTGATGCATGTCATTGTTGACATGAACTTCAATACGCATCAGCCTGCCGGACCGCTGCCCCCAGACTGCCGTACCGCTGCCCAGACTTCCGTAAAGCTGCCCCCAGACTGCCGTACCGCTGCCCCAGACTGCCGTACCGCTGCCCCAGACTGCCGTACCGCTGCTCCAGACTGCCGTAAAACTGCCCCCAGACTGCCGTAACGCTGCCCCTGACTGCCGTACTGCTGCCCCCAGACTGCCGTAACGCTGCCCCCAGACTGCCGGACCGCTGCCCTCATACTGCCGTAACGCTGCCCCTGACTGCCGTACTGCTGCCCCCTGACTGCCGAAACGCTGCCCCCAGACTGCCCTACCGCTGCTCAAGACTGCCATAACGCTGCCCAAGAATGCCGTACTACTGCCCCTGACTGCCCTACCGCTGCCCCAGACTGCCGGACCGCTGCCCCTGACTGCTGTAACGCTGCTCCTGACTGCTGTAACGCTACCCCAGACTGCCGTACCGCTGCTCCAGACTGCCGTAACGCTGCCCCCAGATAGCCGTACCGCTGCCCTCAGACTGCCGTACCGCTGCCTCAGACTGCCGCACCACTGCCCCTGACTGCTGTAACGTTGCCCCTGACTGCTGTATTGCTGCCCCAGACTGCCGTACCGCTGCCCCAGACTGCCGGACCGCTGCCCCTGACTGCCGTAACGCTACTCCAGACTGCTGTAACGCTACTCCAGACTGCCGTAAAGCTGCCCCTGACTGCCGTACCGCTGCCCCAGACTTCCGGACCGCTGCCCCTGACTGCTGTAACGCTGCCCCTGACTGCTGTAACGCTGCCCTAGACTGCCATACCGCTGCCCCAGACTGCCGTAACGCTGCCCCTGACTGCCGTACCGCTGCCCTCAGACTGCCGTACCGCTGCCTCAGACTGCCGTACCACTGCCCCCTGACTGCTGTAACGCTGCCCCTGACTGCTGTATTGCTGCCCCAGACTGCCGTACCGCTGCTCCAGACTGCCGGACCGCTGCCCCTGACTGCCGTAACGCCACTCCAGACTGCTGTAACGCCACTCCAGACTGCCGTAAAGCTGCCCCTGACTGCTGTAACGCTGCCCCTGCCTTCCGTAACGCTGCCCCTGACTGCCGAAACGCTGCACTAGACTGCCGCAACGCTGCTCCTGCCTGCCGTAACGCTGCCCCAGATTGCCGTAACGTTCTCTTCCCTCTCTGCCAGGGGCTTCATGTCGCTCGTGACGTGCGCCTGCGTCGACCAGTCGTCGCCTGCGCTGTCGTCGCGACGCAGGCGACGGCCGGCGGCGTCGTCTGTGCTGCAGCGCGACGAGACGTTGGTAGGCGTCGCCGGCGATCCTGAGCCGACGCGCCGAACCGTCGCCACGCTGCGGGTGCCCGGGCAACCCAACGCGGCTAGACCCTGCAAGGTGCGGCTAGACCTGGCCGGGACGGTAAGGTGCAGCTAGACCTAACCGGGATGGCAAGGTGCGGCTAGACCTGGCCGGGACGGCAAGGTACGGCTAGACCTGGCCGGGACGGCAAGGTACGGCTAGACCTGGCCGCGACGTAAAGGGCCGGTTTTCACTTAAGAGACGATTGCCTCGTTTCGTCGATGTTAATCCAGGAACCATCAAATTTATGATACTATAATTCGGGCAAATTCCTTCATAGCCATTATATTTTATTACAAGTTAATTAAGCTGCAGTTAAATTTAGACCTTCGTTGTGCGGCTCTCGTGACTCGTCATCATAGCGAGTCAACCAGAATACCAGGCGATGGAAGAAGACAGTTGAAATGTTCACTATGTTGACGTTGAAAAGTATCAAATAACCTAATTCTTATCATCCTTAGAACATGGAAACATTATCAGACACTTTAGATATCTTTCAATAAAAGTTTAGGACAAAACTGCACTTTCACCTGTCAAGATCTATTGAAATTCATACATAGTCTCGGCTCAATAATATTTTAGCTGAGTTCATTTAGCGGGGTTGAACGTTTATTTAACTGGTGTATCGCCCATCAAAAAGATGAAGGGTGTACGGCAGCACAAAATGGTCACAGTCACTCCGTTCACTCGTATGGGAAGACTGTCTCTCGATCGCTAGCTTCCGTGACGCGATGTAGAGGTGCGATGTCAACTTCCTTGACGCGATGTAGAGGCGCGATGTCAACTTCCTTGGCGCGATGTAGAGGCGCGATGTCAACTTCCTTGGCGCGATGTAGAGGCGCGATGTCAACTTCCTTGGCGCGATGTAGAGGCGCGATGTCAACTTACTTGGCGCGATGTAGAGGCGCGATGTCTACTTCCTTGGCGCGATGTAGAGGCGCGAGGTCAACTTCCTTGACGCGATGTACTAACAAAAGTTGACTTTTAGCCGTCATGTCGGGACCTCTCAGACGATCCGTCAGTTGCATCGTCGTCTTCAAATAGAAATGAGACTTAATTTATATTATTCTAGGTACTACGTACTGTGCTTCAGCAGCGAAACGCAATTGCTGTAATTATTTCCGTTTAGATACTTATAGGTCATTAATTGAATCTTTGACGACAAATTGTGATAGGGAACAATCTTCTTGAATGCCTTTAAAAAATAAACATTCACTAAACCATATTAGTTAACGTTCATTATTGTGAGACTGATAAAAAATGACCCATATGTCACGTTATAGCGTACAGCTGCACCCGGAGATGTCAGAGTTAATGGATGAACAAGTCGCCTCGACTCCTCGCCAAGTCATGCTTCTCCCCCTGTAGGTCCATATTATAATGTCACTGCCTTCGTTCTTCCCTCTTTCTCTTCTCAAATTTGTACTCTCCCGCTCTCTCATCATCACTCTTTCTTCCACCTGACTCCTTTTCCTCCTGACACTGCCACATCTTCCACCTTTTTCACTCCCTGACTCCTTTTCTCTCTCACTCTCTTGCTCTCGCAATTTTTCTATTCCTTTCTTCCTCCCTCACTGTTCCACATCCTAATTCACTTCCTCTCTCATTCCTTCTCTCCACAATAATTTTATTCTCTACCTCTCTCTTTTACTCGTTCCCTCACTCCTCTCTCCCCTTCTCCCCTCACCAACAGTTCGGTTAATAGCCGTTAACTGCAGCAGCTGCGGCGGGACAGCATTTGGCGCATCGTTGGCGATGTCGTCGCTCACCAGCACCGCGTAATGAACTCATTTCCTCGTCCTATTTGAACTTGCCGCCATATTAACGCCGTATCATTACTGGCCTTCCATAAAGCGTCTCTAATCTTTAATAAAGTTAAGCTGTGTTTGCACAAATGATAGCAGCAAGACACGTTGGGATTATAGTTATTAAAAGTTTCTGAACTTAGGAAGCGCATTAAGAAGATCGCTTCGTGCGCTGGCATGATGTCATGGCGGCCGCCGTGTTGGAGGTTGAGTACATAGCGTACTTCAGGGTCTCTGTTGACTTGTTGTTCTTGCCTGAGGCACACGCATCTCTGTTCACAGTCTCTGTTTACCTGTTGTTCATGTCTGAAGCACACAACATATCTGCACAGTTTCGGTTGATCTGGGAGATATCACATCACTCGTCTCTCTGCGCACGCTTCCTGTTGAAATGAACGCGCATGACTCAAGCACGATGAAAAATAATTAATAACGGAGTCAAGGGAATAATAACGGAGTCAAAGAAATTAATGGGACTCAATTTGATTCCTTCGTTCTCAATAGAGTTACATGTCATTCAATACTATTTATTTTTTTAATTTGGCTCTATCGGTCTCAATAAAAATCAATTGGAACTGATAGTACTAAATGGAATGCAATTCAATCTAAGGCGGCACACAGTACAATTCAGCAGAATTCAATGGGATTCAATACAATTCACTTTGATTCAAATTAATAAAGTTATATTTTATGACACATTAAGATACGATTACGCCAGGATTAGGATACGATTATGTTTAATGCGATTGAAGGGATTGAATGAATTCTAAAGAGATTCATTGACATTCATCGTGATTTGAAGTGATTAGATGAGATTTAAATTGCTAGAGTGATATATACACGTATTCAATGAGATTGCACTGCCGTAATGTGCTGCGGTTCAGTGCCTCGCATAACCTGCGTCCCGCTCTGTCCAGGTCGCCGCGCCGGTACGAGCGCTCCTGGGGGGATCTGAAGGCCTCGGCAACCCCCGGGGGGACGAGAGGGGAGTCGGATAGCATGAGGAGGGGGGGCGCTTGACTAAACGACACGCCCCCTTGAGAACTCCTAATGAAGGGGAAGGACCGCAAGACAGGGTCAAGAAGGAGGGCGGGAAACAATCTGTCAGGAAAAGGGCGAGCAAGAAAATGCGGACGCTGATGGCTGGTCTCTCGGAAGGAGAGTGTGAGAAGATTGATGGCACCGACCGAAACCAAGAAGTCATGGGGAACACCGCCTTGAATTTCTGTACAACTTCAGCGCCAGGGTTCAAGATAACTAACATTCCTATCATCCTAGAGCCTGAACCACCGAGCGACAGCTCCGACAACGCCATGTCGGCTACGGACAATTTAGCGCTGGCGGCGGCCGCTGAGGCTGAGCGAGCTGTGTCGGCCTACATGTCGGCCTACACCAACGAAGAGGCCGCCGGCAACCAGGGCGGCCTTTCTCGACGAGAGCAAACGTCTGAAAAGCTTCACGCAACAATCCTCTTAACATTTTAAAATTAAGCAATTGCGCAAACCGCAGCTCGCAGAGCCTCTCAAGTCCCAAACTGCTTAATCACACTGATAAAGCATTAAATCGAAAACTGCAGCTCGCAGTGCTTCTCAAGTCCCAAACTGCTGAATTACTTTGATAAAGCATTAAATCGAAAACTGCAGCTCGCAGTGCTTCTCAAGTCCCAAACTGCTGAATCACTTTGATAAAGCATTAAATCGAAAACTGCAGCTCGCAGTGCTTCTCAAGTCCCAAACTGCTGATCCACATTGAACTGCATTGGCATTTCAGAGCGCGTTAATCTCATGGTAGAGGTGGCACCCTACAGCTCAGGACCTAGGTACATTCATACGAGTGCCTTCTACACAAGGGGGATCAATTAACTGAGATATGCTGAAAATAATTTGACAAATTCTGACGTTTGCCGCCAAAAGAGCAGTTGTATTTCCAACTCTACTTTGTACGGGAAAACTCGTGTTTTTATCTTCTTACTTGAAATTCATTTGTAATTTCAAATTTGTTCATTTCCATTTATGTTTATTATATACGGAAGTTGGTGTGCGAACGGTGCGCGTTAAAAGATTATTATGCGGCATGAAGCCCGATCAGAGGTACGTTGTGTGTTAGGTCCTGACGTGTATTATTAAATCAGGATATTAAATCGATGTAAATGCTTCATTTCTTATGTGTTATTTGATCTATGGATAAGATCTCTAGTCAGGAGTATAATTATTGTTCATTTTGTTGGTGCAAGAAAGCCTTAAGACTTGAAACGCGTGACTGGATTGTTCAGTAAAGCATGCCTCTTTCATCAACGCTTGAATTGTTTATAGTGTCGGAAGATGTGCAATTAAGTGACTTTAAGAAGATGTGCAATTAAGTGACTTTAAGCGACAAACGTCAGTAATCAAATGACACTAGACGATCATGTGGGCCGAGTTGGAGTGTCGGTGACCCAAACAACTTTGTTGGAACATAGGTCAATTGAAGGTAAAGCTGGTTGGTTCTCAAAGATTTTAGGTCAGAGTATATGTATTAGGTTAGAATGTATCGCTTATATGTTACAGTATGTATATTGCTTATAGATTACAGTACATAGCTTACAGCTAAGATTACATCGACACTATTCGCTTAAAATACTCAGTGCCCAATTGATGTATGTGCAAATGATATTTGCTCAAATCCTAAATTTGTGCACAGCCTCCTAGGTCTATGAAGTATTAAGCTGCATTTAATGTGCATTCACATCAGGAAGGGAAGTAGAATGGTTGTTGACGTGGAAACTCCTTCTATTGGTGCTCGCTTGAGACCTTCAATGGACGATATACCTCGCAATTTACATCAATTTTTCCCCGCGTGCAAATGACTGTTGTGCTTTGGACGCAGGATTCGTGGTTGAAGGCTAACTAATGATTCATGCATTTGTATTATAATAATTTATTGAAATGAAGAATTTCCAAGTTCCATTCTGAAGTTCTTAATTATGAACAAATTCCGCTTGAAGCCATCTAGTTCGTAGAAAAAAAGAAAATAAAGATGATTATGCATAAATATAATATTAGTGTTGTTAGGCGGAAGTTCTTCATATATGCAGGTTTGATTGAAGGAAGACCAAAGCATGCTTTTCATTAACAATTTGCTAACAAGCTGAACAAAAGGAGATTACAATAAATTAAGTTTCCAAATAGACTTTATTTTAAAGCCACCACAACCTGTCCCTGCCACAGCCCGCAATATTTCACTCGCTGCTGCTGCGCTGTCGACGTGCAGAGTGTGAAGTTACTTACTTGGTTAAGATACGGCGCAGCACCGAAAGAGTGTGACGCGATCGCGCGCTGCACGCAACAAACGTTCTCAAGTCCCGCGCTCTACGACGACTCCATACGGCGACCAAATTACCTCAACTTTCGCTACTGGGCGGCCGTTGCTCTTTCAAGAGGGATGCTCACTTAATAACAATGGCCTGCATATCAATTCTGCAACGAGGAAGAGTTTGAAGAAATAAAAAATTGTTCTTCTTTGAAACCAAGAAATTGTTTCAAAGACGTGTTGTTGGAAAAGTTTGATTGGAGTTGGATAGTAGAACAATATTTTAAAGTGAGTATAAAGAGAAAGACCATAAGCGATCGTAACTTTTGTCAATGCCATCACATTTTGTCATGAAATTTTACTGCCATTAACTCAGACGTAAATCGGATTTTATTCTAATATCAAGTTTTCCGTACCGTGCAGTCACGATTTTGACTCAAAGTTCCTCTTTTTATCAGCGGCCGTCTGGAGCGCAGGCCTGTCCCTCGAGACCTAGTCACAAATTTCCCTTTCATGTTGGCCGAGATTCGGCACCGGAATTCCGTCGTGGAAAAGAGAAATAAACGAAACGCGGCAGTGGTACCGACCGAGGGGAGCCGATGGAAATTTGAGGGCATGTGGCAAGCCCAGGAGGATCATAGCCCAGGGTCGTAACTGCAGGTACTGGCAGAGGGTCGGAGTGAGAGTCTTAGGAGACAACATGAGGGCCGTAAGTTAGCAGCGTAGGTGAGGGCCGTAGTTTAGAGGCTTAATTGAAGTTCGAAACTGGGAAGAGTAGACATAATAAGACATTATTATATATATAATACACTTAATATAATACACTTATAATACACCCTTACACTTAACAAAATGAACCACATCACACTCCAAAATCCGGTCTCAAAAAACATAACCCAGTAAGTTACAAGCACATGACGCACCACACGACACATGACATAGCACATGACACAGCACATGACACAGCACATGACACAGCACATGACACAGCACATGACACAGCACATGACACATGACACAGCACGTGACACATGGCGCATCACATGACACATGACACAGCACATGGCGCACCACATCATACCTGACCCAGTGTGTCCGGTGAGCTGATGCAAGGAGCAGTTGCTGGCCAAAAGACGCTTCGCGCGCCCATAACTCGCCCATAACTCGCCCATAACTCGCCCATAATTTGGACCGATTTTTCACAAACGAAGAAATGTGACCGCCGCCTCGTGATGTTGGCCGCACTCCAAGCTTGCCTGCACTCCAAACATCCCCAGCAGAACAAGGAAATGAAAGCCACTGCGAGCCTCGTAAGAAAATTGGCTGTGATTTAAAGGCGGGCGATGAATGGCCAACGATTTGCCGCCGGTCCCTGCGTGGCTTCATCTTGCACTAAGCGCTCCATCAGCGACTACATTTGGCAGTGCAGACCGACCATTGCTTATCACGAGTACATCGTTAAGACCTTCAAAAGAAGACCATTTGTGTCTGTCTAAGTCGCACAAAATCAGCTAGAGTTGTAGGCCATCACAGATCATGTAAAACTTCCATTTTGTCGTCTGCAGCCAAACTGGAAAACGTCGTTTACAATATTTCCTGTTCACCATCCAGTCAAAATTATGGGGCGGTTAGGGTCATGTTGAAGGCACGAGAATTTATTTAAGAAGAACTCATTTAAGAAATTTCTCACACTGAAAAAAACAGTATTAGGAGTCTCTTAGCACCTGATCGTTCTCTACTCATAAACCGTTCTGGCCCTTTGTTATCTTTTCAGTACATGAAAAAGTGCGCTGCTCAAGAACTGGTAGTAGTTGCTATCAAGTGTAATCGGAAACACCACCGCGAAGTCTAAATAATTATGGGTAGCGAGCCGACTTGACGGTGACTTCCGTATTGGTTTCAACACAAGGGCTAGCTAGAGTCACTCTGTGGTCCGGCTCTAAATTCCCTTGCGTTGGAGAGAAAAGGAATGAAAACGAGGAACTTTTCGTAGAATATTGGTGATCTTTACGAGCTGCACCACGATGGCGACAGCCAATGCAATGATCAGGGGTTCGAGCCCTAATGCACTGCCAAGAACACAGAAACGGACAGCAAGGGTACAGGTACGAGCTGCAACACAATGCCGATAACCAATGCAATGATGTGGGGTACGAGCCCCCAATGCCCTACCAAGTTCCGATTACTCCCGAGCGTGGAAGGTATTAATTCCCACGACACGGGAGACGCGAACGGTAAAGCAGAAGTTGCACCAGAACGCTAATAAATATACTCGAATGCGGAGGTTATTAGCCCCCACAACTCGAGAGGTGCTCTGCACGGGTACTAGCCGTCTAGCTCCTGACTAGCTTGGCTAGTCAGGAACTAGCCAAGAACGCCACCTACGCCGTTATAAGTCCGCTAGTGGATCTCTTTAAGAGATATATCCAGTACTACAGTGGAGTTTTATTTTGGAAGCCCATCTGGCTTTCTTCCTAAATTCGCAGCGAAACGTCTGCAACCCCAACCCAGTACCACTGAGCACACACAACTTGCCCGCAAGGGGTAACTCGGCTAAAATAACCTCGCCACAATACCTCGTTTACGGACTAGCTTCGCAATTCAGGTACAAAAGAAGATAATATAATACAATGCAATAAAGTAACCATAATTTTAATCATTTGGCAAATTAGTGACAAGTTAATAGTCGAATAATCCTAAACTAATTCTAAAGAGACCGAGCTCTGCATCGTCCAAGACTACCTAGGGGAATAAACGGGCCCCAACGCGAGGCTAGCAGCAACTCGACCAATCACGTTGGAGCTTCAAAATTCAGTCCCGTCCCAAGACGCTAATGACTAAATCCTATGAATTAACAAAATAATATCACAGTTAAACAAGATTGAATGTCGCTGTTTCAAAATCAAAATACACTCGCATTACTTAGTCTCATTGTAATGTCGTAATATATAACATCAAACTCTAATCTTATAATAAATTCGGATCATACAAGTCCAGCCAATACTACGTTCTAAAAAAATATTTCACAGAATTCGGGTTCCGTCATACAAGCATATGTAAAATCTGGCGTGTGACGCTCATGTTTCTTGCCTTTGTGCAGGCAAAAAACTTATCATATGAGTAAATATGATCACGAAAAGTAGTGCACAGAGGCTGTACGACTGAACGTGAAACATGTCGCTGCATTCGCGCACAGTACCGAGCAATGCTCCTTAGAGTTGAAGCAAGACTGCCCAACTTCATCCTCCCTAATAAATTATACTTTATTACTGTTTTCGCTCTAAAAGCTCTCCTGGAGATAACAGACTCGTCGATATCGGCGATGTGCGCTCGAGAGTTCAAGTAGGAATTGATATCGAGAAGCGGCCGTGCATGTTGTTTGTTCGCACGCAGCCACCTCCTTTTGGTGGGCCTAAAATAGACAGATAAAGTATGTGACAAATTTCATACAATGGTAATTCACGTAGTAAAACTAGTTCTAATCATTAGAAGCGTTTTTTAATTCATAAGTAGTGGCTTCAGTTTGAAATTTGAATTTTTAACCACCGTTACGTCATGGGTAAGAAGCAGGCAATTGATACATATAACTGGGGCTGCGACAACGCATATAACCAACGCTGCGAATTGGGGCAAGACGAAAACGGCCGCGCCACCACCAGCCAAACAACAGCAGTGTGCTTCATGCTGCGAGGAAGTGTTAGTTTGAATAAATGAGGAATAGAATTTCACGTAAAAATCAAAAATAAAAATTAGGGAGTGAAATTAAACTAAGCTGAATAAGCACACCAGAGTTTAAGTTGCCACACGGTGCGCTAACGCACTTATGGGAAGAAATAATTTTTAGGAAAGAGAAGAAATTAGTGGAATAGTTGAATTTCCATAATTAGTGGAAATAAATAAAGGGAGAACAATTGAAGACTAGTTCATTCAGTAAGATAAACTTTAAGGCAATTTGGTAAAAACTTTATAAATGCATGAGCTTAAGTTAGAGCCGCAATTGAATTATTGAATAATTAAAGTCGACGGTGAATAAATCAACAGGATAATTGAAGTGTGAAGCAAAACACACACATACACTCAAAAATTAAACCCAGCTCTCATAACAATGGCAGATAAGTTCAGGAAGATAATATAGCATAGGGTTGATTGCTGGTGAAGCTGCGGCGGCGGACGACTGGGTGGATCCCACTGGGGGAAGCTGCGGACGACTGGGTGGAAGCTGCGGCGGAGGACGACTGGGTGGATCCCACAACACAGGTGTGCCAGTGTAAGTATGCATGCGATTGTCTGTTAGTGCAAACTCTAGTTTCTAGAAACCTGGCTAGCTACGACATAAGTTACTATAACAATAAATTTACTCTAGATTAAATTTGAACGTATGATCTTATTCGCATGAAACAATGTTGAAGAGAGAAATAATCTAAATAACGGTGGGGAATTTCCCACTAGAGAAGACTTCGATTCCGACTCGTACATAATTCGCACGCCTTGCGTCCTTGACGTTGCACTGACCGCTGTCAGAGCGACATAAATTCATCCATGGGGCCAACGCTCTCTAATTAACGATTGCTAAAATAGTAAGGCGACCAATTACTGTCTCATGGGACAATACTTGTACTTATGTGACGAATTACTGACATTTTACAACTGCCGGAAATCATTTCGCGAGGATGATGTTAATGAAAAGTATTATTGGTTATAATTTGGGCTTACGTACAAGGATATTTATTATTTTGTTGACAGGAATAGTTCATGGAATGCATTGCCCAGCGCGACGTTTGTATATCACAGCGCTTGCAATCTCAGCTAGCGGGGCACCGAGCTATGCATAAAATTACGCGTTTA